AACAAACAAAAACACTATAAGGGCAGTGAATATATCAGTGAATTCCATGGGTTGGTTAAAAGGGGAGAGGCAAAGAGTTGGAGCACAGAGGCTATTTTAGAACAGTGAAAATACTACATATGATGCTATCATGAAGGGTGCAAACATTATATAGTTGGCTGAACCCATAGGCTGCTCACACCAGCTATGGACCTTGGTATCACTTCTAACAATGTGCTGCTCTGGTGAGGAGCGTGGGGCATTGGGGAGATTGTGAATGCTCTAGAGAGTACTGCCTCCTCTTCTTTTCCTATGCTATGATTGAATGCTCTCACTAAGGCAACTCGAGAGAGAGGGGGTTGGTTTACTCTGGTTCACAGTTATGGTGGGGGAGTCAGGAGGCAACTGGTTGCACAGTATTTGCAATCAGTGAGTAGAGAGGGATAAATGCATGCTGGTTCTCAGTTCCCTTTCCCCATTTATCCAGTTAGGATCCCAGCCAGGGAATGGTACTACCCACAATAGACAGGTCTTCCCACCTTCATCCCACTCCTGTCACTCCTGAACCACGCATGTGCACTCACCCTCCTCCGTCTCACGCCCATCACCCCGTCACTCCTGTCTACTGCTATTCAGGAAACTATAACTATTGAGGGAAAATAGACACCATCTGAGTATATGGAGAAATAAACCATGTTCATGGATAAGGAGACTGCAAAGTGGTGTTATTTCCCCCTAATTTATAGACCCAGTACAGTTCTGATGGTTTCTTTTGTTTATAACTTGACAAGGCAATTCTAAAGCTTAATATGAAAACAAAAAGTGTTGCGATCCAAGATATTCTTAGTAAAAAATCTGATATGAGAGTTTACAGATAGCAAATGTCCCTGTATCTTAGGAGGATAAAAGCCAATAAATGAGGCAGGACAGCACAAAACAGCAACAGATTAATGGAGGGGAAGCAAGCAGGACTGAAGAGATGGCTCATCAGTTAAGAGCATGCACTGCTCTTGCAGAGGACCTGAGTTCAGTTCCTAATAGTCAATGTGAAACTGCCTCATATCCTCCACAGGCACAGCACATACACACACACACACACACACACACTAACACACACAAACACACATACACTCACACACATACAAACACATACACACATACTCACACACATACATACACACACACAAACACATACACACTAACATACACACACTCACACACAAACACATACATATACACATTCACACACAAACACATACATACATACACACTAACATACACACACATACACACACACTCACACACTAACACATGCACACATATACACATATACACATAAACACACACACAAACACACACACACTCACATGCACATGCACACACACATACACAATATACTCACACACAGACACACATTACACATACATACACACACATACATACATACACACATACACAATACACTCACACACAGACACACACTACACATACATACACACATACACAATACATTCACATACACACAGACACACACTACACACATACATACACACATACATACACAATACACAATATACTCACACACACACACATACACACTACACACACATGCATACACAAACCCACACTCACACACACACATATGTACACACACTCACACACACACACACACACACACTCAGTCACTCACACACATAGTTTAAAATAGACGTGAACCCTAACAAAGGTACAGAATAAAGACCAGAAACAAGCCTCTGCCTGTAACAGGTGCTTGAGTTATAGAAGTGCGGCCACCGAAAGGCTGGGCTCCCAGTTCTAGCTAGTGAGTCAGGTACCTGGTAACAGGGAAACATTTGGTGTCAACATGGCGGCTACCTTGATGGCTTGGGGGATTGCAAAGATATCTCTTTCTCTTTAGAGAGGGATCTTTATTTTTGCTATTGTGTGCATGATGGCACATGACATGGGGCATGCTTGTGAAGGCCAGAGAACAACTTTGTGGAGTCGGTTTTTCCTTTCCATATTTATATGGATTCCAGGAACCTCACTTGGGTTGTCAGACTTATCAGCACCATCTGCTGAGCCACTAGTCCTAGAAAAAAATCTTAGACAGACTCATAGAGCACTGGCTTAGGGAAAAAGCTAGATAAATTAGATGCCTTAAAATTAAATAGTTCTATCCAATTAATATACAATCTAGTACATACAAGGCAGGTTAGCAAAAGCGAGACATTTTCAACTCAGAGTCTCCACAATGGGCTGATAGCTATTTTGTATAAAATATGGAGATTAAAATCATAATTCACTTCATCTCCAAACCTAGGACTGATAACTTAAGAACATAATTCCTAAGTGTTGGTAAGGATGTGGCACAGGGGGATCTCCACAAATGGCTGGTAGGGGAACATATTGTTGTGGTCTCATCTAGCAGCAATGATGTTTAGCAAGCCAACAATTCCACTCCTAAATAATTGCCATCCCAAATGCATTTTTCATTCCACTCTTACACCTAGACATGTATAAACATAGTCCCAGCAGCATTGTTCAGAATAGGCAAATAAATAAATAAATAAATACATAATAAATAATAAATTTAAAGGGCCTGAATACAAGACAAATATAGAATACATTCCATAACTGCCTCTTAGTCTCCTCAGGTGCCAAAATCTGAGGATAACTGAACCCCACCCCCCACCCCCTGCCAATCTTACCCAGTGTTCTGTTGCCATGAAGAGACACCATGACCACAGCAACTCTTATAAGGAAAGCATTTAATTGGGGTTTGCTTACAGTTTCAGAGGCTTAGTCTATTATCAGCATGGTGGGAAGCATGATGATGTTAAAGCAGGCAAGATATTGGAGAAGCTGAGAGTTCTACATTTAGATCTACAGGCAGCAGGAGAAAGAGAGACCACTGGGTCTGGCTTGCACATTTGAAACCTCAAAGCCTGCCCTCAGTGACACACTTCCTCCAACAAGGCTACACCTCCTAATAGTGCCACTCCTTGATGATGAAGCTTTCAAATCTATGAGCCTATCAGGTCCATTCCTATTCAAACCACCACATTCCCTGGCCCCCATAGGCTTGTAGCCATATCAGAATGCAAAAATGTGTTCAGTCCAACTTCAAAAGCCCCCATACTTTCTAACAGCCTCAACACTGTTTAAAAGTCCAAAGTCCATCAGCCAGTGGTGGCACATGCCATTAATCCCAGGACCCAGGAGGCACAGGCAGGCAGATCTTTGTGATTTTGAGGACAGCCCGGTGCAGAGCTTGTTTCAGGAACAAAGCAAGACTGAAAACCAGCTGGGCAAACTCCAAACTCTATCTCCATGTCTGATGTCCAACACTCTTCAGATCTCCAGCTCTGCTCAGCTTTGTTGACTGCAGCACACTTCTCTATCTTGGGCTGGTTCACTCCCTGTTAGCAGCAACCCTCAACAGTCTCATGACTCTGGTATCTCCAACATCTTGGAGTCTCCAAGGCAAACTAGGCTTCACCTTCATAGCTTCAAGCAATGCAGGGACACTCCTGACCCATGCCTGCCCTCGGCAGCTTTCCTCAGCCACATAGGGAGATCCCACAATCCCTTTCTTGAATCCTTGTCTCTAAAGCCAGAACCACGTGGCCAAAGCTGCCAAGTACTTCTGCTTGCTGAGGATGAAACATTCAATTAATTTGCATCAGCTTTTTGTTTTTAATGGCTTCCTTCACCACTTAAGCTTTTCTTTAATTCCTTTTCACAAGTGGAAAGGTTAGCTGGGTGGGGTCTTGTCCTGAGGCCACTCCCTTTATTCCATTTCATATCTTTGATCTGTTTATCTCCTTGAACACATTTCCTTGTGCCCCTTTTCTTCTCAAACTGTACATTTTTGTATTTTTCTCTGCTCAGCGTGGTTCTTTTCATTATAGAAATATATATCCTATAATTCTAATGACGGAATTTAAAGTTTTTATGTGTATGGATGTTTTGTCTACACATATAACTATATTACCTGTGTGTCCAGATTATATAGAGGCCAGAAGAGGACACTGAATCACCTGAGATGGGAATTTTAGATGGTTTCGAACTGCCATATGGATACTAGGAATTGCACCTTAGTACTCTGGAAGGACAGCCAGTGCTCTCAACTGCTAAGCCATCTCCAACCCTGCCTCCATATAAAACTAACCAAACCACAATATTTGGTCATGCATGCATGCATGCATACATACATGCATGCATGCATACATACATACATATGTAAAGGTGTGATTCCTACAGAGATCAGGACACTGGTGCTCTCTTTGTCTGAGCTGTCTACCCCAATCCTACTGAGAGAAACTCAGTAGAATTAATAGCCTATGATGATTCTGTTGCTGTCGATTCAATTCCATTCTACCCCTCCCTTGCCTCACAGTTCCAGGCGCATAAGCATTTAGAGACCATCCTTCCTTAACCAAAGGACCTACAAATAGTTACCATGTAGTTGTGCAGGCTGGCAATCAGTTTGTTCTTTCCAGGCAGAATGCCCCATATCTCCCAATAAGCCATAGCTTGCTGGTAAGGAATGTCATATCTGAGTTCAGGGAAACTGAGATACAGATGTGCTTCAAAGGGTACACACAGCATCTGTGAGTCCCCACGTTACCCCACTGCCATTACATTTTATTTGGAAACCAATGTAATTACTGTAATCTTTCTTATTCCATGCATAGCACTTATCTTATTTTGAAAGCAACTCCCTGGAGAAACACTCATAAATCCTGCTGAAGTAATTATGAACTTAATGTTTGAGCTTTGCATGCAGAGATGAAAATGTTACCCTTTTATGACAAATCAGAGCACAAACAAATCCCTAAAGACTGTGCAAAAATTCAGCTTGGGTTGGTTTAATGGGAATATGGGGAGAGGGTGGGGTGTGGGAAGAGAAGAAAAGTAACAGAATCTTAAGAAACCAAATGAAAATTAAATCTGTAGGCTCTGTGAATGCTGAGCCTACCTGCCTGTAACTTGTTTCTCCCATGGGCTTTCTTTAGGACACCATTGCTGGGCAGTTCTGCCTACAGCACTCTACCGGGCCAGGCTGGTTCCCAAGATGGCAAAGGTTAGTTCACGCTCATTTCCCCCAAGCACAGCACTTTCAGCCCTTTTTCTCCTACATAACTGAGGTAGACTGGTAAATGCAAAGTGAATGTACTAGGTTATTCAACATGATGCTTTGATACGTGTTTGTACTATGACATGATTACCATGACAGTGTTAATCAGGTGTTTCACATAGCTCTCTCTGTGTGTGTGTGTGTGTGTGTGTGAGAGAGAGAGAGAGAGAGAGAGAGAGAGAGAGAGAGAGAGAGAGAGAGAGGGAGGGAGGGAGGACGGAAGAAGGAGGGAGAGGGAAACAGTGTATGTGTTGGGTGTGTGTTTGTTAGGTGTGGGTGCACTGAGAATGTGTACATATGTATGTGTGTGTGGTATGTATGTGTATATGTGTGCTATGTGTGTGCATGTGTGAATTTGTGTATGGTGTGCCCATATGAGTGGGTGTGTGAGTATATATGTGTGTATATGTGTAGTGTGTGCGTGTGTGTTTGTGTGGGCACAATGAGCATGTATGTAGAATCCTGGCATCTCTTCCCTCTGTGATTTGCATCTGTGGGGCAGACAGGTGCTGGCTATGGGGGATGGTGAGCATGAGGAATAGTAAGGTACATGTGAGTCCGGTGAGGTACCTTGCAAATGACAAATCCTCAGCAGCTCCTGAGTAGCCTGGAGTGGGAAGCAGGACCATGATTCTTACTTGCCTGTGCTCGTTGGCCTGATCTCCCTCAACACCCAGCACTCTGACCACCCCAAGATTCTGGGTAGAATCAGGAAGCAGAGAGCCTCTTGGGTGTTACCTGGCATGGTAGGAGGAGCCAGGAGCTCACTCACTGGCCTCTGCTTGCCCATGAGGAAGTACCAAGCTGAGATCTGTCTTGGCTCTGGGCTCTGCTGTCTTGGCTGTGACATGGGGCAAGTGAAATGGGGTTTTCTGGCATTTTTCATTGCAATTTTGAAAAAGTATTTCTTTTTATTTTATCTGTATTGGTGCTTTTCCATGGGTGTCAGGTCTCCTGGAACTGGAATTACAGACAGTTGTGAGCTGCCATGTGGGTCCTCTGGACGAGCAGCCAGTGCTCTTAACCACTAAGCCATCTCTCCAGCCTTTCAATGCATCTGCTATTGAGTCTTTCTCTTCAGTGAAGAGGTGGAAATTCCCTCTGGGCATCTGAATTCCCACAAAGGTGTTCCCATCTGTGACTGGAATCCATGCCTTTATGTCAAGATTTACTAGAATATAATGGCAGAGAAACCCCATTCTACCATCTTCTTGCATTTTTCTCTTTTACTGTCAGGTTTTTGATTGTGGCCCATATGGCTTCCACTTGTCTAAAACAGTAAGCTCCCTCTCTCAAGGAGGTAACCATGCTCTACCCAAGATATAGTGCTTGTAAAAGTGACAGTTAATAGCTAGGCATTGGTGGTGTATGCCTTTAGTCTCAGCACTCGGGGGGCAGAGGCACTCTGTGAGTTCGAGGCTAGCCTGGTTTACAGAGTGAGTTCCAGGACACCCTCCGAAGCTACACAGAGAAACCCTGTCTCAAAACAACAACAACAACAAATGACAGTTACTCTAAGATATCTCCTCCTCCATGTTAGCCCTGGAATGTTCCTTCAAGCAGAGCCTGACCTTCATTAATAAAATGTCAATACTCTGTGCTGTGCTGGATATGCCGACCTCAGATGACATCAAGGCTGGGGTCATCTGCTGCTCAGCACTGTTTGTTATGCCCTCCCAACTCAGTCTTAGCCAATTGACATTAACTCTAGATGTTATAATCAGACATTAAATCCCCAAGTCCAGCTTTTTTCTTCTTTCTTTACACAACCAAAGAATGCCTTTCTTTATATAAAGGGCTGCTCTGTGGGCTAGCTGCCCATGTGGTGTTTCAAGGATGCACACTTTCTTCCTCTTGGATGCCATCATTCCTTGGCACCCAAGAGTCCTTTGTCACTACCTTCAGGCAAGGGGTGAGAGATAAGGAAGGCACACCAGTCTTTTCCCTTCAGCCTGAGAACAGCTTCCCTTCCTCATATACAATGTGAGATCAGTGATCTCAGACATGGATTCTTGGGGGTTAGCTACATCCTACCAACAGCTGATCCTGGAAAAGGGGACCATTGCCCATCCTGCTACCAAGTCTGACTTTGCAGAGGAAACAGGGATTGCCCAGAATAATGGCCATCTCGCAGAGTCTCCGGAGCATTAGTAAGACTGATAATACAATCACAAGTGATGTCTGAAGCACACCATACCATATTCTGGTATTCTGCCCATTTGGTGAGCTAATTAAAGTTGTAAGGCACTAATGGGACGAGCTGGGTGGTGGAGAGAGTTACTCAACAGTCTTGAGGGTATTTGCCAACTGATGGAGATAAAGGTTTCCAATGTTTTCATTGGGTGGTTCCACTGTTATACTATTTTCCTAATAAAACATGACTTTATGAGAAGAGTTTGAGATGCTTGCTGATGCATGATGATAGGAAACCATTTCCATTGTGGTTAATCAGGAAAGACTTTATTCTCTTTGCTTTGAAGACAAAAACAGTTGAAGAACACTACTTAAAGACAGGTCCAAACTCACACGGTGAGGTTAAGCAATCTGCTCACATCATCTACAACAATGGCTCTCAACCTGTGGGTCATGACCCCCTTTGGGGGTGGAATGACCCTTTCACAGGGGTTCAATATCAGATATCCTGCATATCAGATATTTACATTATGATTCATAACAGTACAAAACTACAGTTATAAAGTAGCAACAAAAATAATTTTATTGTTGGGGTTATCACCATATGAAGAACTGTACTCAAAGACTTAGGATGGTTGAAAAACACTGGTTTATAGGAAGGCAAGTTGGCAGTGCCTCCAACTTGGGTAGCATAGCACAATTCCATTCCACTCACGTGGCTTTTTGTGTCCTTTAGAACAATGGTTAAACCAGTGACAACCTGTGGTCTGAAGGCCATTTGTGCAGGTCCACAGGTGGGTGGGTGGATGTCTAAGAGGAGATAACATGAGCAGCAATAATTGACCAATACACAACATGCCACTTTCATTTCCCATCTCCCTTTCAAGGTATTAAGTAGGCCAAGTTGACCTGAAACTATGTAACTAAAATCCTTCTGTTTCTACCTCATGAGTGTAGGCAGTAATGTGTGTGTCCAGATCATGACACAGACTTATTATTAGTTATGAATGCTTAGCCTTATCTTATGCTTGTTCCTCTAGCTCTTATAATTCAATGTTTCTCTTCATCTACATTTTTGTCTCCAGCCTTTTTACCTTTCTTTCATTCTGTATGTCCTACTCCATGTCTGTCTAGCTGGCCCCAGCTGTCTCCCTCTTTTTCTTCCTTGTTCTCTCCTCCCTTACTACTTACTCCAAGACCAGATTTCTCCTTGTACTTATCTGTCCATCAGACCCACCTATCCCTCTACTGCCTAGTTATTGGCCATTCAGCTTTTTTTTTTTTTAGACCAATTAGGTACCACATTCTCATTAAACAAATGCAGCATAAACAAATGTAACATACCTTCATATAGATTAAGTAATATTCTGCAACATAAATAAATGTAACACACCTTTATAGTTAACGTAATAGTCCATAAGAGATCTCTAAGTTCAAGGCCAGACTGGTCAACAGGTTGAATTTCAGGACAGCCAGGGCTCTACAGAGAAATTCTGTCTCACAAAAACAAAAAACCAAAGTCTTGACAAACTCACCCCATGTCGTATTTGATGTCTCTGTTTCCTATGTACGTGTGAAAGATGTATCCAGCCAACTTCCTGCCTGCATGCCATACTTCCCTGGCCACTATGGACTCTCCGTGTGGAACTCCAAGCCAAACTAAATTTTCTTCCTTAAGTTGCTTTTGGATATAGTATTTTTATTTCAGCAACCGAAAAATATCTAATTCACCAGCAAACCCTAAATATGAAACATTAATATGCATAGTTTGAGTAAGCTCTGGTCAGTGTGGTGTGGGTGAGAAGAAGGGGGAGCTGGTAGACTACTGGTTCTGTGAGGGCAGCTGGGGCCCCAGAGGCAGGACAGACCTTTCTTTGAGTTCTTCTTAAGGCAGATATCCCAAACTCTGTTGCTTTTATTTGTGTTAAGCCTTGGGGATCTGTTTCCTTGTGTTATTACTGGGCCATTTCCAAAAGCTTTCTCTCCTAAGGTGGGGCACCAAGCTGAAGGTTGTAGCAGATGAGTTTCTCCTGAAGAGAGAGGGACTTTGGGAGCAATGGCCTCTCTCACACAGAGGTTTACTCTTCCTCTCTAAGACCTCCTTCTGCTGTGACATCGTCTAGAAATGGGACAAAAGGAAGGCTCTTACAACACCCAGCTCTACAGAGACAACACAGGATGAAATCTGCCCGCCAAACCTACAAGATGCCCATTCCTTCTTCTCCATGATCACACACGATATCCCATCCACCAACTTTCAACCTGTTGTTTCTGCTCATCAGCCACTCTTCACATCTCCTGGAGTGGGCCTGCTGCTCCTCCAACCATCTTCCCTGCACCATTGTCTGGCAGGATCAGAGTTTACATTTCCCTTCTGAGACAAGCCTTGAAGCCTATCCTGGTGACAGGAGAAGAGGGTGCCACAAAGCTGTTAGGAGCAGTTTTCCCATCAGCCTGGTCCTACAGCTTTGTCAGTCCCAAATAACACATAGAGATGCTGTATTTGATACAAAGCTGTTGTCCAGTTACTAGTGTTTCTTATTAGCTAGCTCTGTCTTAAATATTAACCCATTTCTATCAATCTAAGTGTTTCCACATGGTCTTATCTTACTGGAGAGAGGGTCTGGACTTCTTCCTCTGAAGTTCCTATATCTTGAATTTCTCTACTACATCTCTCAGAATCCTCCTTGTCTCTTTGTCCTGCCTATCTTGCTTTCTTAATGGCCACGAGTGTATTATTCATTAGCCAATAAGAGAAACAAATTTACAGAATGACATCTCCCATCACCTCCTCTTTTCTGTCTAAAATAAAAAGAAGGGCTTTAACTTTAACATAGTAAAATATATAACAAAACAGTTATCAAATAAGAACTATAGTTAACAATATTTAATTCATTAACAATTAGCAAGATTTAAAGAAAATATTCCATCATCTATCCTATCTTTGTGAGTCTAAAGTCTTATATGTAACTTATCTTTACTCCTAACTAAGGAAAACTATAATCATAACTGTCAGTTTTCAACTCCATCAAAGACCACAGAAGGATAATATATAAACTCTAGAACTGACAGAGACAACTCACTGCCTGGTCAATCATCCGAAGTTCTTCTGTATTGTTCCATCTTCAGCATATAGGCCATAGTGTGTCTGGCAGAGTCCTCAGCAGAGAAGGACACTTTAAACTGTCCACCAGTATTGGCAGTTTGTCAGTCATTTTTCTCTGTGCCCTGCAGACTGTCTGACAGACTCTTCCACAAAACAGGAATCCTACAGCAATGTCCATCTTGTTTCAGCAGTCACTTTCCTATGGGTCCTGCATGTCCAGTTTATATAGCATAAAGCCAAACAGCCCAGACAAGAGCAGTATCTTGCCCAAATGTCTAGTCTTGCCACATTGGAAGCAAACTCCATAATGAGTTTCTTCTATGTCTATCTTCCCTTCTGATGCAGTTGGTGTTGCCAGGAGTAGTTGTGCCTCACTGTTAAGAAAAGCCCTAAATCATTTTCAATGCCATATTCTGTAAGTCTTTGAAAAGTTTGAAGAATATTTATCCATCTCAAATATATATCTGTATATCTAGAAATCCTAACTAACTTAACTCTAAGTTTTGACTATCATAGGTAACTAACTATAATCTGTACTAAATTATACATTACATTTCTAAATGAGCTATATAAACACAATACCTAAACAAGCGGAGAAATATACTTATCACAAAATCGACCTTAAATTTGTACCAATAAATGAAAACTCACACCAATGCAAAGTATTCATTACTATGTCATTTTCCCATTTTTTTTCCTTTAAAAAGAGAGTATGCAAGACACAACTATGCAGCTTGAACTCACCTCAGGGCTTCTGTGTGGACTTGGGGTGTGAGCTGGTATGAGCTGTTAGATCGGGAGGGAGTAAGTCTAACACTAGGAATTCATTGTTTTCTGGCTAATTTGCATGCTTTGTTGTGAAAAAAAAAACCCTGTATCTTTTTTAAACAACAGAAAAAGAGACAAAACGATAATATTGGCCACCAATAAATCTGGGCAGAGTGATATGCTCTTGGTCCAGAATTGAGGTCCCACCATGAAGATGATGACAGCTCTGGCAGGCCTTTTCCAGCAGGCCCCAAATAATCCCAGCATGAGCAAACTGACTGAGGAGCAACAGGGTCCCTTCCAGGTGCTGGAAATTTTGTTTAGCAGATTCCATCTCCCTGGTTTAAATTAGGAAACTGACTAATAAATAGTTAAATGTGTTTGCCATAAAATATTCAAGTATAAGGCTATAGTTTGCAAATTCCCTGCAGAGCCTGGACTCAGGGAACCTTGGCAGCCAAGCCTGTTGTTAAGAAGGTCAGGGATGCCATCTGTGAATGCATGCACTTCCCTGTTGAAGCATGACTTGCTTGGGCTGGGGTTGCTGTAGTTGATTTTGCCTGTGAATGTAAAGCTGGCACTCTCTTGAAGACACAGCAGTGACTTGGGTAGACCAGGGGTCTTCCCTCCCACAGGGACTGGAGCTATGTGGTTGAAGACAGGAAAAGATGAAGCATCATCCTTGGGTCTGTCTTTAATTACAGCTCAAACATATTTAGGGAATGTTCATGCATGGCTTTCCTAAATTTTCCTGATGTGAGCTTTCTTTAAAATATGGCAATAGCTCTCTTGTAATTGTTAAGGCAGATAAATGAATATTTACTCACAACTCAAAAGTTAAAAGAATATGACAACCAATCCCAGAATTCTTTCATGGACTTTATAACTGTTTACTCCTTCCTTTATCAGAATTTCTAAAATATATTTTATTTTTATTACCTTTTACTTATTGGGAGAAGCATGCACCATGGTGTATATGCTGCTGTCAGAAGAGACCTTGCAGGGGTTCATTCTCTCATTCTGCTATATCGGTCTTGGTATCCAACTTGGGTTTCAGGCTAATCAGAAAGTGCCTTGGCCAGCTGAACCATCTCATCTGCCTGAATGTCTATTTGCTGGTCCATGCATGTGGTTCTTTGCTGGACTATTATGGGTGAATTAAAGTATATTTTTATATGCATGCATACATGTATGAGTCTTCCAGAGGTCAGAATGCTTTCCTGCATGACTTTGAAACTACTACTATGCCCCCAAACTTTACCAATCACTGAATAACATGTATCTCATACACAGACTACTGAATGGTCAATCCTTAGTAATCTACCATCTCTCCCAATGCCTAACAGCTATCTAAAACAGTAAATCATGGTGCCTTTGAGACACTTTGAAAATCCCAATGAAAGCCCTGGTCTTCAGAAAAAAATCTTCAGACAGTGACAGCCATCTTGGATTCTTACAGGGTGTTCATGAAATTCCCCTCCTCTGAGTGCATACACTATACACAGTACTCCAAAATGACAGCACTTTGTCATAGTCTCCCATCATCAGTTTGTGTTCCTGGGCCTTCATTTGAAGAAACTTAAAGTTTCAAGGAAGTATAAGATGGATGGCCAGCCTACTGAGTGAAAACTGAATCATAAAAATCACAGGCAGTTTTGTCATGACAGTTACTAGTAGATGGTCTAAATGATTAGGATAGATGAGTCAGAAGAACCCTTCCACACTACAGTGTCTCTAATACGGCCACAGCAGGGGCTAACCAGCCTACACTTGCTGTCTTGACAGTCTGTAGTTAAAACCAAGAGTCTGGGGGTGCTTGGCATTGGCACAGTAGTTAAGGGCCCAGTTATTGTAGGTGCGATTAGTTAGCAGTTACAGAGATAGTCTCATTAACTAAACATTCCCACTTAGTTTTAGTTCTATACCTAGGAAGTGGGGAGGCTGATAGAGGCTAATAAATTAGGGTAATAGAACATCCTTAATTAAAAAGCAGAGGTCAAGTTGCACTATTTTGTCAAGTGTGAACTTGCAAGGAAAAATGACTAGCCAAGTGTATTTCCGAAGACAAGCTCTCACTGTTCTCCACAGAGTCTGACAAAAAAGACACATGGATTATGGTGGTGATTGTGTAATTCAGTAAGCTTGATGCAGCCCCCCTCAAATGATGGTGAAAAGTGAGTTAGAGCATGGAAGTTACACGATGCACCCAAACATCTCAGGTTCAGAGAAAGTGAAGCCTTGAGATTTCTCGCAGCGTCAGTTTCCTCAGATTCTAAGAGCACAGTGATCACAGAAGAATGTTCCAGATGTGGAAATGCATGTTCCTCCCCAAAGCTCCTGAGGTTTACTACGAATTTAAATGCCAGCCACACTTTTCCCTTTATTCTGTGGATCAGGGGCTAACAGGAAACAAAGGTTGCTTGTGTAGTGTGAGGGCAGTTGTCTAATTTATGAGTCTAAACAATTTCATCTTGACATCCCCCTCCATCTGCACACAGGAGGACTCCCTGATATAGCAAGACCCTCTCCAGGCACTCAGTTCAACGTCAAGCACAAAGTGGTACGTTCTGACTCTTCCTGAAGACTTTTAATAGTGTTTGGGAGGGATTGAATACTGTATATTAGTCATAAAAAAGCAAGTTTGAAGGGGAGGAGTTTTAAAAACAAATATTCATTCATCAAACAGTTATTCCTGGGTATTATGTGTGTGGCTTCCTAGTAGGAGATACATAGGTAACCAAGGTTACCAAACAACTGACTGGGCTGAGGCTGTTACCACATTCTCTCACATTGTCTCTTTTCCATGTGTGGCAAAAATCACAGTAAGTTTGTAAGTCTCCAACTGTAGACTCCCAAACAATGAAGAGACTAGAAATAGAAACAGTGAAAAACAAGATTTGGGTGTAGCTCAATGGCAAAGCAATTTGCTTGGCCCTCAAGAAGGCCTTGGGTTCAAGTTACAACATTTCAAAAGAAAGAAAACATGGGATGTTCTTGCTCTTCCTCCAAGATAATAATACATTTTAGTCACACTTCTTACAAAAATCAATATGCTTGTTTATACATCATATGTCTGCACATACACATGGATCCAGTAAATTGACCAGGTCCTGCTGGACCTTGTCTTTTGTAATCTGCTCTTATATATCAATACTTTTATGAACAACTTCCCTTGTTAACAAGAATAACCATTTGTTACCACTATGAGCCATATCCCCTGTGAGGGGGTACTTCACAATTTAACAATGACCATATCTGCAAGCATTTAACATTTTCCCTTTTTCTATATCTTTCTTTTTTCCTTGTTATTTTTATTTGCTAGACATTTAGGGTTTTATTGTATTTATAATTATTATAAACATTGTTATGGTAACTAAAAGTTATCACAAGCACATTTATGCGATGGTAAATTCATCTTAGTGCATTCCCAGAAGTAAAATCCTTAGGTTGGGAAGCTGGTTTTCTTCACAGCTAAATTGTCTCCCTGTATTAGCCTCATTGCCTTCCTATATCCTCATACCTGCTTTAATCCAGGCCTATGAGCACATGTGTGATCCCAGCATTCAAGAGAGCCCACATGAGGAGGGTCACAAGTTCAAGTTCAACCTGGGATACACATTGAGAGTGGATTTTTCCCTCAAAAGGTTAAGGAAAATAATTATAACCTTAATGTTTCCCAATGTGATAGATAAGGATAGTCGAATTTTCCCTTATGTTTATGAGTTTCATGAGTCTTTTTATTAGCAATAGTTGGTTCTCATTATCTGCAGAAGTAGCATTTTCTAAGGCTGAACTGAACACTATATTAATGAAGAGTGAACAGTTGCTCCCATGGGAGATGTAAAGTTTGGGTTCTGTAAACTGCTAGTCACAACGCTTAGTTTTGTTTTTGTCAACTTATCAACATATAAGCTTTTGTTTTGTGTATTTTTAAATATTATCTTTATTATAAAAGACTTGAAAATAAACAAGTCATCACTAATTTTTATATGTTTGTTTCTGTTCAAAGACTCCTTGAGGTAAGTCAATTTGTTAGCATTGAACTTGAGCCAGCGCCTCTACTGTGGAGCTCAATTACTGGAGTTCTTTTCCCTGAGAGGCACACCACAGCCTTCTTTTGCTTTGGATCCTACACCATACTTTAGCATGATGGTCAGGAACATTTTAAACAGCAAATCTCTAACAAAGAAACACAAAAAAGCAGAAAATGGAGCTCTGAAGAGAAAAGGACACTTAATTACCTAAGTGAGCATGGCCAAGGCTTCCGGGCAGTGCTTGACCTCAGCATGAACACACATGGCAGGGGTTTCCAATTTTCCACTCTGGGCGTGCTCCTCAATGACCTCAAAAGGGCTGCACTGACCTCATGATTACACACAGACTTTAGCAAGCAGGTGAATTCACAAGTACGGAATCCACGAATAATGAAACATGACTGTTTATTTCCTTCGCCCATGTTTTGTTGGGATAGTTGCTTTTGTTTGTCTTAGTGATTTTTATAAACTTTTTACATACTAGGACTGGACTTTTTTGCTCAGCCTCATTTGTAAGTCCTTCAGCCAGTTTGTCTTTTCATTTTAGTGGTTATAGTGGATTTTGTTAGATGTTTATTATTGTGAAAATGGGATTGTTGTCTGTGTGTGTGTATGGTATGTGTGTATGTACAGCTACACATGTGTATATGTAGAGGGTGGAGACTGACACTGGGCATCTTTCTCTACCGTTCTCCACCTTATTATTGCTCACCAGACTCAAAGTGCACTGGCTACACTGGTTGGGTAGTGAGCCGTAGGGTGGCCTGTCTGTTCACTGCCCCAACCCTCCCTTTGCCCCATCCCCGTGCTACGGTTAGCCAGTGCCTTCCTGGTTTTTTGTTTTTGCAGTTTTACGGTGGATACCATGGGCCGAGCTCAGAGCCCTTCACCCACAAGGCCATCTTCTCAGTCATTCTGGGCTCAGTTTGTTTGGTTTGGAGACATAGTCTTGCTCTGTAGCCCAGCCTGGCTTCAGTCTCAGTATGTCTCTGTCTCAGCCTTCCCAGTTCTGGAATCTCAGGCATGTACCCTCACATCCACCTTAGTTGGTATTAATTCCCAACTCTTTGTTCTCCAGGCACATCAGATTTGGGGTTCTGAAGCTCCTTGCCCAACATTTCCAGATTACAGAACTTTTTGTAAGTGCCTCCCCACGATCCCTACCCTGTGCCCAATAAGCTGCCAGTCTTACCTACTTGTAGTCTTTGTCTTGACTGTTATCTTTGTCTGCAGTTTTCATGACTTCCAGGGTCAGAAGGCATTTAATAAAGCCCTTCACGCTTCTAACCCCCCCCACACACACACACCTTGCTACTTCACTTTATGAGACCTAACATCAAGGAGAATGGGGTTAGATATGACCTCTGTCTGCTCTGAGAATAAGCATTTTGGGGAGACTGTGAGTAAGGGCCTGGGGCTTCTGATTTAAAAAGGGCTTCAGGATGTCACAAATCACAAGCCACACCTTGTAGCATAGCAGTAATCCTAGCTTCTCAGGAGGCCCAGGCAGGAGAACTCTAATTGGAGGCGTGGCTGGGAGCTTAGTGAGATGTTGTCTCAAAGTGAAAAGTAAAAAGCCTGAGTGTAGTGCTCACCTTTAATCTCAGCACTCAGGAGGCAGAAGCAGGCCCATCTCTGTGGGCTTAAGACTAGCCAGGTCTCGTGTAGTAAGTCTAGGCCAGCCCCATGCTGTAGCTATCTCAGGTTGGAGTGGGGGAGGAAGATGGGGAAGAGAGAAGGGAGGGAGGGAGGAGAATTGGGCATGGTATGCTGGCTAAGACCTGTAACCCCAGAACTTAGGAGGCTGAGGTAGGAGGATCAAGACAGGAGCTCGAGGCCAATTAAAGCTGTGTGAAACTCTGCCTCAAAAGAATAAAAAAACAAAACACCACCAAAACTAGGAAGAAAGCAGCAAAACCAATGCAGAGTGGGTAGTTCAGTGATTTACCTGGCTTGTGCAAGACCTTGAAACAAAAGTCCAGTCAGTTTCCTTCCTTGTTCATAGTAGACTTTGCTCTTCCTGAAGCGCTTAGGCACTGAACATGTCTTCACTCTAGGTGTGAAACCCCCAAAGCCAGGCCTTCAGCTCCTCATGAATTACAAGACTAGAGGGGAAAACCTCCTGAAACAAGTAAGGGCTTTACCTTGTCATTAACGCTGGGCCAGCCCCTGGGTGTGTCTCAGAGCATGAGTGCAGCGTGGGGGTGCTTAGGTCCGTATCAAATAGCCTTCCTTTACACTCTCCTGAAAGATTGGCTGTTCTGATAAGAGAGGCCCCCAAACACTGCCTGTGCATACCTGTAACAGTCTTCAGAGAGGCTTTGGGGCGGGGATTCCCATCACAGGGGATGAGGGCTGGAGGGCTCTGCCTCTTGGGATAGGGTTCTCGGGTTGTCCTGCCTCACTGGGACCCACTCTGGGTGTTCAGTGTCCCAGACCTGCCACGTTTGCCTGCCTGCCCTGTGTCCTACCCAGTGTATGTTGTCCCTGCTCTCCTAGGCATGGCCTGCCCTGACCAGGACTCTGACTGGACTGATCAGACCTCCTTAAATCCCAGTGCTTTGAAACCAGTTGTTAAAATGAGGTCCTTTTATGCCTTAGAATTCTGGCAGAAGGGGCTGGCCAGGGTGATGACAGCTCAGCCTTTAAGTGTCTGCCTTGGAAACACAACCTTGCTTTAATCCCCAGAACTCACATAAAAGCTGCGTATAGTGCCATATGCTTCACATTCCTTGTGCTAAGGAAGCAGAGGCAGGTAGATGGAGCCCTGAGGCTCATTGGCTGGCCAGCCTAGCCTAGTGGGCAGACAGCAGGCCAATGAGAGAACTTGTCTCAAGAACAAGACAGATGGTACCTGAGGATCAAGAATTGAAGTTATTTTCTGATGTTCACAAGCACATGAATGCATATTCACACACATTGCCCACATACAGGCAAACACACACACGAACAACACACAAAGATATGTGTACACACATGAACTCATACATACACATACCACACACATATACACGAACATACATAGGCATGCTTACACACACATACACACACAAACATACATGCCACATACACACATGTACACACAGACACACACATACCAAACATGAACACACATGCAGATGTACAGGGGCATACACACTGGCATCCATACATACATCAACACACAAACATACATGCACACACACAAAACACAAACACATACTCACAGATGTACACAGACTCTTACACACAATTCTCTGGCAGGGACTCCTGAGGTTAAAGCAAAAAAAGAAAAAAAAATGTTTTCTCTGTGTGCCCTACTGACTTCATTTATTATAAAATAAAACAATAATTTTAGCTAGCTGTCCCACAATTTTTAATATAACCTTTCTTTAAGCTGAATTTAAACAACTCAGTTTTATACTAAGTAATTATATTTGTGAAGTCATGGGTTTGGTATGCTAGCTATGTGTGTTAGGGAGAAAGAATAACTTGACCACTTAAAATTTTAAAACATTATTCAAATAGCATCTAAGATTGTCACAAGAATACAAATTATACACGCATGTCACTTTGAAAAGGCTGATCTGGAGGCACCAAGGGAACCTGGCAAATTTAGCTAACAGGACAAGGCTGGGCAGTTCACCTTGTTTAGCTAAGTTAGGCTTGTTTTTGTGGTAGCCTTTGAGAGTTAAGCTTCCCCTGGAGATCTAGGGAATGAGTAAGTTCTGGAAGGCATTGCTGTGGGTCTGTGGAGGGAGACACGTGGGGGCCCCAGAAGCTGTGTCGGGGTCCATTGAAAGTTCATTGTGCACTTAGTCAAGGACCTGCTCTGGAGGGCTGGGATCTCTTCTGGGAAAGGAGGGTGATTTCTTGAAAGTGTATTGCTCTCAGCCTCCTCCTGGGAGTTGTCTGAGGGAATGATTAACTACTATTAAATAATTCCCTCTTGATGCATGGAGTTGCTCTGAGGCCAGGCAATTCCATTGCCAATCGGTGTCACAGCTGTGCTGAGGGACACATGTCCTCCTCTGTCAGATATTTTCCTGACCCCTCTCCTTTTCTCTCCCTCCCTTCTCCCCTCCCTCCCTCTCTTCCTCTCACCCTCTTTCTCTCCACTACCTTCCTCTCTTCCCCCTGTCACATGCAATAAATATGGGAGGCTTATCTGAGAAACATAGAGCCTAGAATCCTGACCAAAAATAAGTAAAGCAAAATATTTTAATTTTAAAATAAAATTGTAATTATTTTGCTATTTGTTATGTGTATGGGTGTTTTGCTTGCATGTATGTCTGTATACTATGTGCTTGATTGCCTCAAAGTCTAGAAGGTACCACCAATCTCCTGGAAATGAACAATCATATGGATGGTGGGGATAGAAGGGGGGGGGCTCTGGAAGAGCAGCCAGTGCTATTAACTGCTGAGCCATCCCTCCAGCCCCCGATTTAAAATGTTTTGAGGGAAGAAGCCCGAGCTGCCAGGTCACCAATAATCTTCCCTTTAAAAACATTTGCTTGGTGACTAGAGCCTTCGGCCCTCGAATAATTTATAACCTTGGTCCCTGACTTCAAGAAGTTCATGACAGAGGACTGAGAAGCAATGAATTACAGTTCCTTAGTCAGAACTGTCTGACTAAGGAAGTGGCTGGAGGTGGAAAGGGTGGGTAGGAGAGAGACTGCGATCAGTAGGTTCTTAGGGATCCTAAGAGTTCCTGCCTTTCTAAATTCATCTTGTTTACTCATCTGCCCTCCGTGACTTAGGCACAATATACAAACAGAAAGGGTGTTTTTAAAAAGAAAATGCAGAAGCGATGCCAACCCCTGCTTGTGAGTGATGTCTGGTTTGAGACAATTTAATTCCCAATTTTGTGGGAACGGTGACCTTTGCGGATGAACGAGTGTTGACAATCAGACCATTTTCCCCCTTCCAGTTTCGGCGACAATGGGATTATGAAAGCAAGTTTGGCTCCTCGGAGGACTCAGAGACGGATCGATACTCCGATTATGGCAAAGGTTTACTGCCTGTATTCAACTGATTTGAACGAAGCCACAGACCTGGGGCTCTAGTTCCTGGTTTAACCCATTAAGACCGGAGGTCGGAGGAGGCCTTGGTTGGGTGTGCTAGAAACTTCCCTGGGTTTCATCCCTCGTTCTTTTTCGTGTGTGTGTGTGTGTGTGTGTGTGTGTGTGTGTGTGTGTGTGTGTGTACTGACGGGGAAGGGGGTTTTCATAGTCATGATTAAATGTTCCTTCCCTGGGTCTCATCCTTCGTTCTTTTTCGTGTGTGTGTGTGTGTGTGTGTGTGTGTGTGTGTGTGTGTGTGTGTGTGTGTGTGTGTGTGTGTGTACGGATGGGGAAGGGGGTTTTCATAGTCATGATTAAATGTTCCTTCAAAGTAAATGCCACGGCTCCTATTCTACTGCAAGAGCTTCACAAATGGCGGTGTGACCGCCACCATGGCGGCCCCCGAGCCAACCAGCCTGGCCTTTTCCGTCTGAGAAAGACGACGTCTCTGTTTCCGGAGCCACCACTCAGAAGAGAAAGGCCCTCCTGGGCCAGGTTTCCCTCCCGGCAAGAAAATCTGGCTCGCCCGGCCGCTCAGCCTTCGGCTCCGCCCACGGGTCTGCGCCTGCCTCTGCCCGCAGCCGCTGCCCTGGCGAGGTCCCCACGCAGCCCTGCGGTCGCCCAGCAGCACCGCGCATGGAGAGACCTGGCGCGGAAGGGGCAAGGCCACCCCCACCCCGCCACCCTGCGCTCCTGATCCAGCCTGTCCCCCCAACCGATGGCTCCTGTTGCACAGAAAACACAGTCTCAGCCTAACCCCTACCGGCGCCCCACTCGACCCAGCCATCATCGTCATTATTTTTTTTTTCCTTTAGCCCCAGGTTGGGCTAAATACATTCGCTGGGAGCCATCTGGTCTGCTTCCCGGGAACCCTTCATGTGGTTTCCATTAAGCTCGCCAGAACCGTGCATTGAAAATGCTGCCGGAGCCGCTCAGCAGCCTCCCCCAGTCTGCCCTGCACATGTAGAACGAGGGGACCTCTGGGTAGGCGCCCAGGCTGGCACCCAAGGACCATGCTCTAGTGACGCGTCGCCACTCCTAGGAATACACTTACCCATGGCAAGGCCTTTTCAGTGTCCCAGTGTTCGGTTTTTGCCGCATGCCAGCCAGGGTTTGTTAGAATTCTGTTTCGATTCTAAAAATCAATGTCAACAGCTTTACATATGAATTTACAGAAATAACCTGGCCGCAGAAACTCAGTGTGACCAGCAACATTGAGTATCTGCCTTCTACGTCTGTCTCTGATTGCCCCTGCCCCCACAGGGAAAACAGAACAGGGGGGGGGAAAAAAACCTGCCTCACACAATGAGGATTTATAGTACAAGATAAAGGAGACAGGCCGATTAAAGGAATCATAGTGCTCTGTATCTGGAAAGTTCCTTAGGGTTTATTAAAGATTAGTCAGTTTACTGAGTGGAAAACGGAGGGGTTTGGGAAGGGTCACATGACTTGTGAGGAAAGTACTAACAGCCCTGTGGCCTAACGTCAGGAAGGAGTGGGAGGAGACCTGGCAGCCAGGTACTTTTAGACAGCTAAAAGGAATTAATTTGTGGCATCCTGTTCTTCCACTGGACTTCCCAGTAAGCAGAACTTTATTCCTTTCCTCCGTCCCGACCGCCAGCCTAGGTTTCCCTCCCTCCCTTTTCTTTCTTTCTTTCTTTCTTCCTTCCTTCCTTCCTTCCTTTCTTCCTTCCTTTCTTTCTTTCTTTCTTTCTTTCTTTCTTTCTTTCTTTTTTCTTTGCTTTCCTCCTGTTCTGTTCCCACCCTCACCCTGGCAGGGTAATTTTATTTAGGATTTTAAAATGAAACCAGGTGCTGTGTAAAACAAAGGCAAAGTAATAACAAGGAAAGCCGATCCAAGGCCTAAGGAATGTGCTGAGTTTTATGACTCAGGCTGTCCTGGCAAAGAACTAGGAGTGACAAGGAGAGGTGGGTGGCAGGGAGCAAAGACCATACATGGCAGCCTTGGCCTCCCCATGTAGGGTGGTCAAGGCAGCCTCTGACTCACTTTGTAAAACGAGACAAGGCTTCCCAGGCTAGAGCCAAAGGATCGTCAATTTTTCCCTGAGGAGCCAGATCCACGTGAGGGGGCCAGAGCTACCCTGAGGTTTGAAGAACTCATCCTAGGCAAAATGCCACCCTTTGCCTCGGAAGAGGCAGGCTTATCGGACTGAACCATGGGCACTGTTGCCTTTAGGAGATGGATCACCTGTAGGCTTTAAAGTGATAAGGAAATTAGCATGCCTTGTGGTGGGGACAATGGCTTGGGAGTACAAGGTCTCAGAATTGCTGGAGTGCCTTGGGTGGGGGAGGGGAGCTTGTGGATGATGAAGGGGGCTCTGGGTGCCATTCCTAACTATCTCATGGGGTGGGCTGTGCATAGGACTCAGACACCCAGGCAGACATCCACACATTCTGAGGATTCCTTTCAAATGAGCATAGTAATGGGGTGAGGTGTACATTTTTTTCTGTTACTAAGAGACAGGCTAAGTAAGAGTACAAGGAGAAAGTGTCTCCAGCAGGGCAGTGGGAGGGGCCTGAAATTGGGTGACAAGGGTCTGCCAGGCTCTCTTCATCACCTTTTCCTGGGCAGAACCAACTGGACTGTCATGTTTTGAATGAGAGCTCTGACTGACATAAATGAGATTCCCACACGTAGACACCTTGTGGATGGAGGCTCGTTTCCCCTTTCCCCCTCCCATTTTATGAAATACCCACTACTAAGCAATGCTGATTATTCCATAATTTCAGGGAAATCTCTGCTTAACGTTGTCATCAAAGGCTACTTACCTGGAAAAATAGAGTCTAAGAACTATGACTTCATAAATATTTATAGTGTGAATAGGCGCCACGCCAATTCTGTTGGAGAATGGGCCCATTCAGTTTTATTTATGATGTGACACTCTGGTGAGTGACATCCGTGGATTGGCCCTGTACTCTGTCCTTCTGAAGCATGTTTATGGAATGATTATGCCTGTGAATGTTTGCTAAATTTAGGTCTTCTCCTCTCTGAGTAGCCCTCCCAAGCCCCTAAACAAGCAAAAAGCCAGTGACTGGTGTAGAGAAGACTTGAAACCTAATGACAAGGCACGGACACTTAACATGCACTACAGGAACATTTGAAAAATTGAGAGAAACAATTAAAATGGGAAAGTTAGTTGCTAGTATAGTATTCTGGGTTAAGGTGGTATGTTGGGCCTGCATCTCACAGACAAGGGCTCTCAGCTGGGCCTTGGAGGCATTGACAGGTGAGTGGCAAAGGCAGGAAGATGCTTATAGAATTCTCTCTTTCCGGGAGCTTCCTTTGCCCCACAATAACCAGGCAGGCCTGTATTCCCAATCCCCTGGCTTTGAGGGCAGGATTTGGTGGAGCTCTGTGACCTCCTTTGAGGCAAAGTCTCTAGTGGCCTTCCCTCTTGGCCACTGAGTTAGCCCTGAGTTGGGCTAGCAGCTGTTCACCATCCTGTGGAGCACTGGGTCCCCTAGTCTCCAGCTCCAAAGGCTCTGGCCTGAGCACTTCCTGCCAGAGACAGGCCTACTTTAGACCAGTCTTTGCCTTCCCTCGGCTTGGTCATCTATTGTTTATCCTGGGTAGGGCCGGGTCTTGGCACAGGGGGCATGAAGCCTTGCCAGTGTTTTATTTTTAGAGACAGGAACATGTCTGCCTTCTGGCAGCTGTTCTTTTTCTGGCACGCATGAGGGGTGGTGTAAAAAAGTTCAAGTGAGAGATTCCAAGCCTTAAATTCATGGCATATGACACAGGCAATCACACTGTGAGATTCTCTAGAGACATCGACTCCTGGCAGAGTGGAGGCCCTGATGCCGCACCTGGGGTGCGGGTCCTCCAGGCCACACCAGTTGACACCCCGCTGTCTCTTTGGAGCATATGGCCCAGAATATTATTTTTTGATTCTCATTCTCACCCTTGCCAATCAATCCGGAACCTAGTCCAAGTTGCTAGGAGAGAAAAGGAGGTGTCTCCAGCCAGCTTTTCCTAGACCACTGACATCGTCATGACGGCTGTTAGAAGGCAGCCAGTTCCACCAAGCAGCATGTGGTCAGAATCAGGATTGCGTTTCTAAGTTTCTAAGTCTTTTTCCAAATATGGTTCCCCCTTAAAACATACTTTTTTTTTGTGGGTTCTGTCTTTTCAGCTACTGATTATCTATCTGAAAGCACTTCATAAGTGTACATATTGTACAAAGCAAAAATGGAAAGAAATAAAAGTAGAAAATTAAATTGTGGGTTTTTTCCTTCTTTCCTCCCCAGTCTTTGGGAAATGATTGTTTTCTAATTATAAAAATATCTGATTGTTTCCTGCTCTTATAGTCCACAACTACTTTAAGGTTCATTTTTCTTCTTTTGAGTCAATTCTCTTATTCTCACTCCCTTCTCCACAGGAGAGTGGATAGATGATAATCAATATCCCTGGGGCCTGTGTGTGTGTGTGTGTGTGTGTGCGTGTGTGTGTGTGTGTGTAAGCACTCCAGTGTGTAAGGTGGGGGAGTTGAGCTCCTTATACAGCTGGAAGTTGGAATTTATTTTTCCAGAGTATTTCTACACCATGTCTGGTTGTTTTCTGGAAACTTCTGTGGTTTCCAGATTCTCTTGAGAATCATAACCTCACCCCTTTGTAAGGGTTCTCTGAATCCTTCTGCCCCTGCCTGTCCCTTGGTGTTCTGGAGTTTCATGAGAATTCTGTGGACGTGTGTGTTGGCAGTTCATTTTCCTTGGGCCCAGCTGAGGGCTTGGGCTTGTCTTTAGTGTGGATGTGACATGAGGCAGGGAAGAGCAGAAAGTTATGCTGACCTGTATGTGAAGTACTGAGGAGAGGGGAGGAGCTGTGGACCTGGGTATGTGGAAGAATTTTCAGTAGTTGTAGAGAAAAGGAGAGAAATAAGTCTAGGGAAGAATTTTTGTTAGTTTAATAAAGAAATGGCTAAAGAAGATTTTTAATTTTTATGTGTGTATG